TAGAAAAAATAGAAAAAATTGTACCTTCCGTCGGCAACCAGAATTTTTCATTTAAATAAAAAAACGTCTCCATAATTGTAATCTACCTCTAAATAAATACGAATCACATCCTTGCGCTGTACTTACATAGTTCTTAGTCAAAATTGTATGCGGTCATTGACACGCCTGACTCATTTATGTTCACGTCAGTAAAAAGTTTTAAAGTAGAGTCAAGTCTCACGCCTGCATGCATACACACACACATACACAAATAAGTATATACAACGTCTCGCCTGTATTGTTGCTTTTCGTTCTAAATGTACTTATAAATAAACACCCCACAAAAATGTCCTTAAAACGCATTACGCCCGGAAAATTGGCCATTAAGACGCGCTGTGCCTGCTGGGTTGGGTTGTAGTATATATCGGGTGAGGGTGCTCAGAGTAGAACTTAAAAAAAAAAAACACCTAGGGTACTTAGTGGAAAAACAGCGAGTACATAGTACAGCACTTGCTTGCAAATTAAACAAAGGTGCGACTTTAACTTGAAAATTAAAAAAATAAAAACTTGGTACAAGAAATGCAAATCCACACCACCGTCGCGACGCTGCTACTGCCGCCAGTCACCCACCCGCGCTTATAGGGCAATGTGTGGAGGTAATTGGCGTGGTGTGAGGTGAAATTTTGCTGCCACAACTTCAATTTGATTTTCATTGCGTTATTTTCGTTTTTTTTTCCGGGTTTGCATTTTTAAAAAGACACTATGCGTGAAATTTGAAACTGATTTTTTAGCAGCTTTGCAGTGGAGTCCACTAGAGCAGTGCTCGTCAAAGTGGTGGTCCGCGGACCGGTGCCGGTCCGTAAGCCATAAGTCGCCGGTCCGCAAAGGGCGTCGCGAAATGGACAACGATTTTTTGATGTTTTATATTACTGTTTAATGAGGCTATATACAACTTGTATAATAAAAACAACTTAAATTTGTTAAACATTCATAAAAAATCGCTAATATCTGCTATCATTAAATGGTAATAGGTCATATATAGACACCCGGCTAATAAAGAAATTCATTTAAACAAATTTTAATACATATGTGAGATGATCGTAAACGAAAAATAATCAATAAAAAAAGGTACCGGTCCCCGACGTAATAGAAAAACTGCAGCCGGTCCGTCACACTCAAAAGTTTGACGAGCACTGCACTAGAGCACACTGCATGTGCTGACTGCTATTGTTGATACTGGTATTATATAACGCTTTGAAATTTCCATTGTCTTTATGGCAATTGCAGCTAATAAAGTAAATTATTATTAGCGCTTCATTGCCTGGCATGGCTTTGTTTAGCTTTGTGCTTGCCTGCCTGCCTGCCTATCACGTGAGTGAGCATTATGTATTGTACGTAGTATATCTTACGCGGTAGCAACAATTTTGTGATAACAAGTTTTTTCTTTTCATTTCATTTTTTTTTGTACTCCCTGCTCGCTGTGACACCTTAACCGCTGTAGTGGCTATAACATTGACAAAAATTGCATATTAAGACAGTTAGCTGGGTATTACTTCGAGTGGCAGTTCTGCAGCGTAAGAGTGGTGAGTGTACATATTTCTGGCTGTGTGGCGTGCAGTGTTGTGACATGCAAAATGTGGGCAAATGTTTGAATTGTTAATTTTAAAAAGTTAATGGAAATATGAAATTTTTATTAAATGTCTTCTTGCGGATCGCTGGGGAATTCCTTGTTCTTTGTGTGGTGTAAAGACTTTCTTTTGCAATTACACAAACCTAGGTAGGTATGCACATATTTTAATGCATTGGAAAATATACTTAACAATTAGATATGTCTTTTGTTAATAGAAATTTATTGCGTCATTATGCAAGTTGCCTCAAGCGCATCTTAAGAATTCGTATCTAATATTTAAAGCCTGATGTTCAACCAGTTGATCCTGATGATTAATTTTTTTCTCAGCTAAAATGTCGCCAGCGTAGTTTTTGCCAAAAGCTTCAAAGAACAGCAAAATATAGATCTTTAAATTCTAAACTAAGAATGCATAGTAAGCTAAGGTCAGTGGCGTAGTCAGGCTTTTCATCATCCGAGGCGAATAATAGTATTTCGACTAATTTCACTGAAGTTATCGCCAGCAATCTGGAGAAAGATAGAACTGAACCTGGTTTGCAAGAAGGAGCTCAACAAATAATCTGATTTGATTCAGAAAAATTTCTTGTATTATTTATTCATTGACATTATTTTGTTGGGAGACTCGTAGCTCTTACCGAACTGCTAGAACAGTTGAGAGATAACGCACTGTAAATATAGATGCTGTAGAAGGTACAACTTTTGTCATCATTGTAATTTAAACAGTAGATTTGATCGCTCTATTCCAAAAGAACCGAAAAAGGCGAAGCAGTGCCGAATAAAATTTAAAAAATAAACAACTAAATATGAGATATTCCGTTTCATATCGGACACCAAATTTGGTGTCACACTTTCGATTCACTTCAAATTTTTTGCATGGGTTCTATACATGAAATAAGCTAACACGTATTCAAGGAAATTTTTTTTTATTTTTTTTCTTCGGAGATATGATCTGTCAAAATTTGCATTTTTTCGTGATTCTGACTAATCATTTACTTTTTCAAATCGTTATATCTCGGGTTCTGCTCATCGTAGAGACTTAACTTCGTTTTAAAGCTAAGGAAATGGGCTTTTCTATATGTAAGATGGACATTTCTATATATAAGATGGTCAAGATTGTTCTAAATCAAACTTAGCTATTAACCGCTGAACTTTTTGAAGTAGATTTGCATAGTGAAGACCAGTAAATTAGGGATTCAAATTATACCATCTTAATTCAAAAAAATGGGGGTTCTTCAAGAACTATTTTTAGAATAGTTTTATTTATGACGATATTGTTTATTTTGTGAGAATCAACAATTTTTTTTTTATTTTTTTTCGAAAACTAATGATCAGACATATTTAGTAAGGTGTTAAACATCGAGGGTTTGCAAGCAGTAAAATTTTATTGCGGGTTCCGATAGAGTACATATCCGGAAATAATATTTGTATGGCAAGATTTTTCTGTAAGGCGACAAACCCCTAGAAATGGGCGTGGCAACTGCAGGACTAAAGTTAGCAAAACGCGGATTTTATTACGGATTTCGTCAGAATATCTATGTGGATTGAAAAAGTTGTGGAGCAATAAAATCCGCGTTTTGCTAACTTTGCTTTGAAGCAATATCAAATATGCTGCGCTTCAAAATTAAACAGGAGTGTTTTATTTATTTAATTCTTACAAAAAAAGAGAGGTTATTAGTGCTGTGTGCTAATCTGCCCATGGAAAAAATTTTTTCAGAACAACATTTTTTCCTAAAAGCCACTCGGGATAACGGCTGTTAGTGCCGAATTTACAAAGCGTAGTTCACCACTGACAAGGTTTTAACTATCGATTTTCTATTCCCGAGACAAAAAGATTTTAAGCTCTGTCTGCTCCGTACAGTTAAACTCTTTTTAAATTATTATTTTTTTTTTTTTGTGGAACGAAATTCCCATTTTTATAGAAAAATTCAAATCTTTCGAGGTTGTATAATTTTAGGCGAAATGTACAAATTATGCACACATGATAGGGACTCTAGTATTACTTATAGCACAAATAAAACAAACTCAAAGTTTTAAGCCTTAGATTTATAAAAATGCACTGAATTTCAAAAAATGGTCTTCAAAAAATTCAAACTTTATAATCAGAACTTCTAGAAAAAATTGGGTATGCAGTTTTTAAATCATTCAATTTTAGTATAATATTGCGCAAGTTTCAAGCGGCCAATTTTTTTCGGACGGTGTTTCTCATTTTCTCCCATATAAAAAAAAATTACCAACATATTTACCAGATTTTTTTCTATACACACATATGTATACTACATACTACTTCTGTACATATGTTTACTAAAAGACTGTCGCAACTCAAAAAATGAGATTTTCCAAGAGACAATTCCTGATTTTTGTTAGTAAAAATTTTTCACATAAAAAGTTGTTGGGTTCTATTTTCTAGCTAAACAAAAAAAAAAGTTAAGCAACGGAAATTATGAAAAAATTTAATGTTATTGGAAAAAATACTTAGCAAATATAACTCAATGATATCGATATTCACATATATCATGTATTTTTCTTCTACCCGAATTAACTTAGTAATTTCATAAGTATACTTATTGCACATATACACATACAAACATATGTATTTTTATTGTACCTCAAGTCCATATCTACGACATACAATATCTTTAAAAATCCATGCCAGCTTTGCTCCTAAGCTTCAAATAATACCTCAAAATTCTATATGCTTTAGAGAACCGTCCGAAATGTCTACAAGTACAACAAAAGTTACAAAGCTAAAGTAACCAAATGTGTAGCAGAAATAAATAAGTATTTACACCTTGCATAATAATCTTCGTCAAAGAAATATTATATGTACACATATACAAGTACGAAGTATGTATGTATTTAACTTGCAAAGTAATATGTTAAGATCGCTGGGCTTATGTTAAGTAGACAAGTGTTACAAATGCGTTAAATATAAATTTTTTTTCGTACCAGTTTTCTGTCACTGCACTTCAAAAAAAAAAAATAGTGAAAAAAATGAAGGGTTCGAAAAGTTTATTTATTGGTCAAGAATTTTTTGTACATATTTGGAGCTTTGGAGACAATACATTTACTTGATTAGTGGAAATATCGCTTTAGGGCGCTATTGCTTCAGCGTAACTTCTCTATTCGTTCTTGGAAGTATAGATACCTATGTATTTCTTATGTTGTTCATATTTTTACTGATTATATGTACATATGTATTTATATATTATAACTTTTTTATTTCCTTTAAAAATTTATGGTTAAATATGCATGTTTGTTCCACTTTTGTTTATATTTTGTTATTATATTATATTGTGTGTTTTTTTTAAGTTTTTTTCTTAATTTTTTTATACACATCACCAATAAAAGACTATTTATACTAACAAACGGCTTCTCTGTTTCTACAAATTTTTAGGACGATGGTGTCGAAGAGAATGGTCCTCACCTGCCGACGCTAGAAATGCTGATCCCTCAAGGCGGTTATACTCCTCAGTCTTCCTCGGCAGTCCTGGTGAGTAAAAAAATCTGTTTATAAACTTAGTACCATTTAAAATTATTATACTGGTATGGTTAGTACATATATATGTATATGTATGAGCTTATGCTCACCCCTCAATATCGATTGGAAGTCAAATATTTAGATGGCTTCTTTTCCTACTTACGGAGGCATAGCCAAAGCCAGATCCTTTTTTTTTAGCAAATAACCCAAAGAGTATGCACAAAATCGAGCACACCTACTCTTTTAGTCCAGGTAAGCTTAGCAAACCTCCTCCTTATCTCTGTAGATGCGACAAGAATCCTTGTCAGTCAGTATCCGGTTATTAGGCCAACCTCCAATCTTAAAGAGGAGCGATCAAGTTGTATAAGAGTTTTATATCGCTTTTGATTGACTATTAGCCAGAGGTGCTCTGGTATCAGATAGGTGGTTTCCGTGGCCCATCTGCCTTATCGATGTTAACTGGTATTTATTTACAGGGGGTTTGAGATATGTCTACCATCTGAGCAGAATTCACCATGGATATTTCTGTCCCTTTTCGTGTCACTTCCTCGGCTGTGCAATTACCACTGATGCCCTGGTATCCATAAAAAATTTAATGCACTTTGATGCCAAACCACCTTCTGCACTCTATTAAAAGGTTGAAATGGTTTGAATGAAGTATCCAGCGTACTTTAATACCTCAAACCGATAATCATATAAAAATTAAGGAGTACCGCTATGTTCTTCATAATCCAATGATCGGATCTAAACTTAATTAGTAGACCACCACCACCACTGAGTTACCAGCTTTACTTTAAAAAATTATAGAAATCAATTAACGTGGTCCAAAGATATGCGCCAACATACATAAAAAAATATACAGACGAAATTATAACCTCTTCCCTTTCTCAAGTCGGTTAAAAATGCATTATAACTTTGTATGAAATTAGCAATTTTATACAGAATAAAGGCAACAAAAGTCAGTAGAATTTTATTCAACTAAAACTGATTCAGATTTTTGTTCACTTAAGCAATATGTTTTTCTTATAACTTGTATTTGTATTGTTTTTTTGTTGGTTAATATGAAAATATAGACAAAACAGAGGAAAAATCAGGGCAATCGACAGAATATTTTAATAAATATAAGCGCACAAAAATGACACTTTATAAATGCAAACTTTTACACTTTTTATGGACAAAAACTATGTTTCCTCCATCTTCCTTCGCCTTCCCAGTATCAAGAAAATGAAATACCGGAATATTTGCTACAGAATTTTGAATAAAAATTGTTGTTTAGTTATAATATTATGACTCATATATGGCCAAAATTTCGGCATGGTATATCTAATCATCGGCCCGCTTTTAAAGATATTTTAAGGCGTTTTTGAGGTTAGGTTGGTATGCTTTATAATAAACTGACTACGCCCAATTTTTGACCGTTCACACATAATGTTATCAGAAATATAGGGAGGAAATTTCGAAGTCATTTATTCTTTCGTGTGCTTTTTGGGGCATTTTTGAGGTTGGGTTTGTGTGGGAGGCATACTTTAAAATAAATCGATCATGTCCTTTTTTTTTTGAATTCATATACAACGTTATTACCAACATATGGACACAATTTAGGACTCGAATAATCATCGGTGAACTTTTTATACATGCAGATAATTCGGATCTTAGAAAGATTTCTTCTAATTGTTTCCAAAAAATGTATGGGGCCTTTGTTCACAAGACATTCTGAGTAGATATTTTTGAATAGAAAAGCTTCTTAGGTAAACTAAATGCTCCACAGAAAATAACTTCCACTAGAATTTTCACTAATATAGAGCTTCGATATACATAAATATTTGATTGGCGATGATTTAAACAATGAAATCCATATTCAGTTGTGTAACCAATAAAGAATTAAACTTTGTGTAAAATATTGAAATTCTTAAATTGAAGCTTCGAAGCAAAGCAGTCAAATTCCTCGAGGCCCCATAAAGGAATAGAAAAAGAAAAAGCAATTCAAACAAAGAAGAAAAACCAGAATTAAAACAAAAACAACAATTGCAACTATAAACTCTCGCAAAACAATGTAAAAGCGCCAAAGAGAATTTCAGAAGCTACTAGGAAAATACCCGTGTAATCCAACTCAGTAGCTCCAGATACTACACAATGGTCGAATAGGTTTGAGATGTTGAGCCAAAGACTAAACAGAATAGACAAGTGAAGTACATGGAGCGGTCATAAAGCGAAGCCCGCAGCTGCGGATGCATACTTTGTTGTACTAAAAGTACATACATACATAGTTATGGGTGGATGGAAAGTAGGGATAGACAATAGCTGGATGAATGACGCAGATGCTCAGATGGATTGCTGACTTTTATCAAGGTAGCCAGAAAGTAGAAGGAAGAGTGATTCACTTGTGATAGAGAAACTGGATATAGCAGATAGGTTGAATTTCTGTCGCCCAACATCAAAAACATACAGGAAAGATGATGCATTTCAAAATAGCTGGGTATTGGCTGTACATATAAGTACTTTCAATGAGTATGGCTGATGAGGAGTCACACTGAATTGCGTATTTCGCGGAAACAGGTACCAGGCTTAGAAGCAAAACGTATAAAACTTTACAGGAATGAGCAAAGAATGCAACGGCAATTGAATGCCGCTAATAGCAAAGCCATAGTCGCAGCCACTGTCTCAACCGGAGCTTTAACCACTGACAATGCTAACCGATGCTGATGCTGATGCTGAGGATAATGATGAAGTCGGCCAACCAACCAGCCATCCATTCAGACAGTCAGCTAGAGAGCCACAGGCAATGCCAAGCAATTCAAAGGCACTCTACCAGGCAGCTATGCCGGCTGCCGGCTGCCGCATGCCACATGCATACCTACTACGGTAAGTTAACGCATCATCTTGCAGCAAGCAGCCTTGCAGGCTGCTAAACAAAAGCAAAACAAGTTGTAATGGAGTTTAGAGAGAAGGAAGCACACTCTTGATACTGCCTTCTAAGGCTATATGGTGCGTTTGATGCTATATACCGTTGTTGCTGTGGATTTCTTATTGTGGCTATGGTGTTGGTGATGGCAGCGGCAGCGGCGGCGGCGACAGCGACGGCGGCGGCGGGAAATGAGCTTCTCAAACACATTTGTGGTATGCATGTCGTAGACGTTGTAGAACAGTTGATAGAACATGCCTGGCTTCCCAGCTGCTGCTTTGCCACAACTATGTTCATCACACCGACTTCAATGGCCTCAATGGCCGTGGATTGTTGTTGGTTGGCCTTCAAGTTAGTTGCTTGGTGCGAAATGGCCGCCACACAGCTTACGCACATGCTGAGTATGTATGTTTGTACATAGTATGTGGCGGCAGCGCCAGTTGCCACATGTGGCAGGCATGTAACTGAGTAAGCAAGTAAGTAAGTAGTAGATACATCAACTGGCGAATGGCGCTGGAGTGGAAGGTTGAACGATGGTCGATGGATGGTTGGTTAGCAAGTCAGCTAACTCAGTCAAATCGGCCTAGAGGGACCATCTCGAGGAGGGGTGTATGCGGTGGTAGGCCGCATGACACCGAGATGTTAGTGGTGCTATAGTAGCGATATCAGATATTTTGCTGCAACTACACGTATATAAATACTGGTGCGTCTGTATGTGTGGGAAGTGCGTGCACAATCGCAGGTAATAGACGTAGGCGCATGTTGAGCAACGATGGCTTCTACTAAGGCTAAGGCCGAGAGCCAGCAGGTTAGCAGGCGGAAATTGCATTGTTGAATGATATTTACGCGCCACATAACGTAAAAGTTAAGGCAAAAAAAAAAAGCAGCAACCACCAACGATCCAAGCCGGCAACCAAGCAGAATAAGCAAAGTCTGTTGGGTTGTTGGTTTGGGAAGCAGAGATGTAAGTATGCTAGCGTAACTGACTACAGCAGTGACGATGTCGAGCAGCGGCCAGCAGTCAATACACCGCAAGTCACTCAGCTATGAAGCAATGATGAGATAGGCGAAGCGTATTGCTCACCACTGCTCTGTTGTAACTCCTTTACCATTGTGATGCGCCATCATACTTTACATTCTTTGGTTTGAAGCGCAGTTTCTCTGTCTATTGAGTCAGTCGCTGCTCCGTTTTTCCATTCTTTGCTTTGGCGCTTCTGTAAGCGTACACATCTATTTTTATTTATTTTTTTTTTTACTATGCGCTTTAGATTGAGCCGCAGCTTTAGAATTTGAATTATGCACCGCACAAGCGCGTTAGTGTTGCAGCAGACAACTCCTTGCCCTTCTTTACACGCATGCGCTCATCGCGCTTCGCGATGCATGGCTTTAAAAGTGCTTCGGCCGAGGCTATTACAGCTAACTTTTGTTGCGCCATAGTCAGCGACTTCGACGTTGGCTTCTTCTGCTTCGACAAATCCCATTAAAGGCTATTTTTTCGCNAGTGCTTCGGCCGAGGCTATTACAGCTAACTTTTGTTGCGCCATAGTCAGGGACTTCGACGTTGGCTTCTTCTGCTTCGACAAATCCCATTAAAGGCTATTTTTTTTCATTTCACTTTTGAGGGCGTTAGTGTTCGTCGTTGGCTCTTATGTATGTACGTGTGTTCGTGCATGCGTGCTAATGTATGTAGGTAAAAATGTGTGTGCATATGTATTTAGTTGTAACATCATCATTGCCTGACGCATTTTGACTTTTATCGAGCATTGGCCGATCGGTCGCGTTCATCTTCGTACTTATTTAAGCGTTGTTGTAAGTCTGCATTTATGTCGATTTTCTCGCTGATGCGACGTTAATGGAAATCGTATACTCACATACCTACGCACATACATAAATATTGGCGCTTGGTTGAGTGTATAGATTTTAGTTTGCGTTGTCATGGGTTAAAAGGCCAAGTACTCGTACTGTAACGTTGGCTTGGAAATACATACTTTAAAACGTACATATACATATAAAGTTTTAAGATATGCATTATTTCTTCTTTTAAAATAAATAAATAAATAAATAAATAAAACTGAAAATCTGTCTGCGCGTGGAGACCCAAATATTATTA